AGATTAAAAAAGACAAATGACTTATTATAAGTTCCTAACTAAGTTGTTCAGTTAATTTTAGATTATAATAACCTTTTAATATAAGAATATCTATATTACTAAATTTCTATAGAGTTCTTGTCAAATTATCACTTTCTGGCTAAGATGTCTGTCAATTAAGATTATAGTTAACAATAGGTATAATACAAGATTTAAATAATGATGATACCTTATAAAGTTAATTTTATTGCATCATAAGGATCAATAAAAATTAATGTTTTTAATAGTTTAATTTTTATTTTTTTATTTATATTTATTTTAACATTATTATTTAGTTTATATTAAATAGTATAAGATAGTGATTTTCTTATAATTATATTTCTATATATTGTAAATAGGATAAAAAATTGTTCTTGTAAAAGAATTGAAACAATAGTGATAATTTAATAGTTTAAGTTAAAGATTTAGAATTTAAGATTAAAAATTACTAAAGATATAATCTCTATAATAAAGAAATCTCTTTTTAAACTATACATATATTAAAATCATTCAATATATCATTGTGATTGTATTTATTATTCTTACAATTATTAAAGTTATTTTACTTATCTAAATTATAAACTTAAAGTTAATTATAATAGGATTTATTCTATAATAATTTAGTAGTTTCTTACATATTACTTTCTATTTTTAAGTTATTATTACTTTAAGTTTAATGGATTAATTATAAAGTTAATAATAAGTTGTATCAATCTGAAAATTTTCATTAAGATTAATAAGATATTATGATATTATAGATCTTTAAAAAAGTATTATTATTTATGAAAATAATTGGATAGTCATTATGTAAGATTATTTATGCTCAAAATTATATTGATCCTGATCATTATTTTAGATACCTTCTGATGCTTACTTTTTTTAGATAAAAAAAGGAAAACAATCAAGAAAAAATAGCTGAGAAAGATAGTGAAAAAAATATTTAATAAAAAAATACTACTATTTGAACTAATAATAAACTATTTTTTAAAATAAAAGATAAGAAATAAAAAGAAGAAGTTTGAATAGGAAGTTTTTATTTTTGTTTATAGGTTAAGTTGCAGTTTGTTTTGAATATATACATTTTTATGTAAAAATTTTTAGATAAAATCTAATAAAAAAAGTTTTATATTTTTTTATTATTAGATTATTATTTTTTTAGTTTCTGATCTGACTATTAGACTCAGCTATTTTATCAGTAGTGATATTATTTTACTACTAACTTATGATTATTTTACTTACTTATCACTTATCATAGTACTTTTAAACCATACTAAGTGTATTTGATAACTAGCCTAACAAGTGTTATACTTAAGATAAGATCCCAACTGAAAGCCTTCATAAACTTTCAGATGGTACTCTAGTATCGTTAGATATTCAACTATACTATTAAATAGAGGGTCAAGTAAGATATTTTATTTCTAGTTCAAGAAATAACCAAACTCATCATATCGTCAAATAATTTAGAAATTGAATTTAACCTCTCTTCTTAACATAGAATTTAGATATATAATAGTTAAAGATAATGCAAGATCAACTACCTGAAACTTATAACTTATATTATTCTTTACATGTCTACCATTAGATGCTACCCTCAAGCTAACTCTAAGTAGATAATGTAGCACTTACCTATTATAAGCTAGCTTTCATTACACTATTAGTTTCACTTTTTCATAGTGATTCTAAATAAGTCTATTAAATATAACTTCTATCTGTTATCAGAAAGACTTAAAATGCAGAAACGTTATATATAGATAGCTTCAAGGGTTATTATATTTTATAAATTTATAATCTATTTACATGTATAATTTACACATATTTTATGAAATTCATTTTTAGAATTAAACTAGTAAAATCTGCAATAAATTAATATTATGATCTATACTCAGCTAGTGCTGAACTAGAGTCTATAGCAGTTTAATATACAATAGAAACTCATATTTTATAGTTTGAGCTAAAATTGCTAATCCATTTTATTATCAAATTAAAATTTACATAAAATTTATATGTAAATTCTTACAAAATTACATATTACAGGATTTTCAAAATTTATTATTCTATATCAGTATTTGAAATTAAATATGCAAAATGTATGCTCATATAAAATTTAAAATTTTGAATATTCAAAAATATAATTTTTGCATTTTAATATAATGTTATATATTAACATTATCAAAAAATAATATATATATATTATTTTTTACATATAATTTTTATTTTGAATTTTAAACATTATTTTTCATATCTCAGTTTATAAGCTATTAAATTTAAATGATCTTAATATCATTAGAATTATCTTAATGAGAGAAATTTAATAGTAATATAATTATATTTTTAGTATTGATATTAATCAAATTATTATAAAAAATACATTTTATTATATATTACTTGTAAATTAAATAAGAGATATTTAGGATCCTAATAAAATTATATTAAAATTTATATAAATGTGAAATTATATTAAAATTTAATAAAAATTAGTATAACTTAAGTTTAGATATTTTGCTAAATCTAAGAGTTTAGACAAATAACTTTTAACTATTTTATAAATTTATATTTTTTGAATATAAATTAAAGACTTTAGTTATTTTATATTATTTTTATAATTTAAATAATATCATTTAACAAATTTAAAACTATTTAACTTTTAATTTTTATTAAAAATAAATTAATATTTATAAGTAAATTATATTTTTATAATAATACTGATTTACAAATTTATTTTTTTATTTAATAACTTTTAAAAAATATTTACTTTTTTTTGATTAAATAAATTATTTTAATGATTTAAGTTATTAATAGATTTTAAATATATTTTTTGATTTTAAAAATTTGAATAAGATTTTGAATATAAGAAAATATGTTTAAAGCCTGTTAAATATTAGATAAATATTTGTATATAATAATTAAATAATAATATTAATTTATAAATTTATATTTTTTTTATTTAATATTTTCAGAATATAATTTAAAAACTTCATTTATTTTAAATTACTTTTAATAATTTAAACAAAATTAAATTTAAACTACTTGAGAGATGATTAATAGAAAAGGGAAAAAATCTATAAATTTTGAGTAATTTTAGTTATTAAACTAGTTTTATTTATATGACCATGATTAGCAGAGTGAACCAATAAAAAATTTTTTGACTAAAAGTAAATTTTTCTTTTTTTTTACTGACCATTTCTACATTAAATTAATATTTGTAAAGTAATTAGTATCCTTTTTAATAATATTAACTTATAGATTAAATCCTTATTAAAATAAAATTTGTAAAGGAATATTAATTTATAGATAACTAGCTGCTAACCTATTGTAAAATAATAAAATAAAATTATGTAATATTATATAAATTTATAAAAAATACATTAGATCTTTTAATAACAATGGGTTTAATAGCTTTCATTGCTTTGCAACAGAAATAAATTATGTCATATTACACAAATTCAAAGAATAAAAACTCGTATAACTGAGTTTAAAACTCAAATTTGAATTTTTTTAGAAGATAAAATTTTCTTTTTAGAAATTTGTATAATAATATATATTTAATCATTTTATTTATATATGTATTTTAAATATAACATTTATTTGATTTATAATTATATAAATTTAAAGTTTTATCAATGTTAGATTAATATTTATAAAAAAAAATATTTTACAAAACAAAAAAACTAATTATTAAAGTAAATTCAAATTTTTTTATAAATTTAATAAATTAATGAATTTTTAAAAATAATATTTTTAAAGTAAAATTTAAAAATATTTTTTAATTAGAAGTAATACTTCTTTATAATATTTTGTAATAATAAGTTAAAAAACAAAGTGATTAGCTAGGTTAAAATGAATATAATTGAATAGAGATATAATATTTTGAAGTTAAATACGTAAACATTTGATACTGCATATATTATACAATTAAAAATCAATTATTTATGATATTTACTTTAAATATAACTCATTATTTATAATATTTTTTGATTACATAGAACTTTAATTATTAGTAAAAAGTGCATAAAATGATAAAACTAATCTTATTGACTATTTAGTTTTCTTAGTATTCTAAATATAAATAATTTAGTGATTTTATTGATCATTAAAAGAGCAATTTGCTGATCTTAATAATCAAAACTAAAGTTCTAAAAGCCAGTAAGCAATTAATTCAAATTAGTTAAATATTAAAAGATGTTACTATATAGCAAGTAATATACAATATGTAATATTAATGGTAGTAGCAATTTCAAAATAGCTGTATTATCTAACAAGTTCATTTAAAAGATTGATCCTATTCATTTTAAGAGGTTTGTTTCGATTCTTTTGAAATTATATTTATTATTTTATATTGTATATATTCAGAGTGCCTTAATTTTTTCATGTATTTTGAAAAGATATTTCTTTCTTCTTAAATAATAGTTAAATGCTACACATATACAAATGATATAATTTTTATTATACATAAATTCTTGATTTTCGTTTTTAACTCCCACCATAATCACGTTCTAATTTGCTTAAATCAGTAAGTGGAAACATTAGTTAAAATTGGTTTATGGGTAGATATTAAACATCAGAAAATTTTAATTCATAACAATAAACACATTAATTACACAAATTAATGATCATCACATTATTAATTAACACAATATTGAATTTATCCATTTTTTGTATGTTAACATTATATTGATATTAATACATGATTTTTAACTAAAATAACCTACCCTGATATGCATTACTACTATATATTCGAGTTAGTGATAGCCGATTTCATGTGTAGCACAAATCTCGCCGGTAATTTGCTATGCACACGATTGAATTTTTTCTTTGCTCCCAAGAATTTTTCTATTGTGCAAATTTTGGTTTTTTTAAAATTTATTTTTTTTTTTTTCTCAAAATAAACATTGAATCTTTTGATTGGTTCAATAATTAATAAGCATGTCTAACGTTGATAAAACCGAGTCAATAGCATCCCCAAAAATATTCCCTTAATATCGATGTGGGTTCTACGAGAAGGCCATCCAAGTTCTAGGAAAATTGAAGTTAATTTTACGTCAAAAAGTCCTGACTTGAGTGATCTTAAGCCAATTCTTTGCCAAAAGTTTAAGGCTCTTAAGGATGTGGAACAAGAAGATATTGAATTTTTCGGTGATAAGGAACGAACTAATCCTATTTTGTCGGATGTTGTACTTACATCTTTAAATACATCAGCTTCATCACCGATATCCACTATCCTCATCGAGCAGTAGTGATTTTTTCTCGACTTTGCTTTGTTTTTCCTATTTCAAAGAAATACTTACCTAGTTTATACAGTTTTTGTAAATTTGAAATTTTTGTGCAAAGGGGAAGAATTTCGTATGCCACATTACAGTGGTTCTTGGAACCTGTTACGTAAGATCACCAAAACCAAGTATGAGAAGTTAACAAAAAGTGATTTCTATTTTATTGTCCAAAATAACTCGGAAGAAAGAATCGAAAATGAGTATCAATTCAACGATCTAGTAGTGAGAACCAAACCAGCGATCAAGACGAGTGTGTCCTCGTTTTGAAAGTCCAAATAAAAGGTGAGATTTTTTTCGACTTTGTAAATTGGGTATGGATAATAGCATAATCTTCTACTAACACTTAAACTCTTGATAGGCAAAAAATCATATGGTGAATGGAATCTCAAGGAGGTCTCCAGTGAGATTTACAATAATGAGTTTGACTCTATTGATAGTATGAATAATTTTAAAGTCGAGGAACTTCCAGAGTTGACTTCCCCGTTTAGTGAAGAAGAATTGAAACGCTTCGTTGACAACATCCTAGAAAAGTTGTCAGCATTTCATAATGAGGTTAACAAGAACGAGGCCACAGCACGCGAATATATTTCAATCTTTTTGACCTTGGCAGTTTCGCATGCGCGAAAACACTACGATGAGACAACGCGATTAAATGTGGAATTTGAACTTGACGGAAGTCGGGGATACGGGTTTTTGGATTATGCAGTTATGATACGGAAAATCCTTATCTTAGTGAATAAAGCTAAATTTTTTGAAATCGAAAAAGCCATCGCTCAAAATCTCGTACAAATTTACAGTGCAGTTGAGGTAAGGTTCTTAGCCAATGAGACTTTATATCAATCCTTTTTTACGATAAGTATGGGACTAATGGAAGTTTATCTTCAGAATTTATTAGGCAAACGAAAACTTGAACAAACAGGTTTCGAAACATCACCACCTCCGACTATGTATGGCATCGTAACAATCGGCCGTGGGTGGCGTTTCATCCGCTGGAATGGTACGTTGGAATCACCAAAAGCTGAAATAACTGAAGAATATGTTTGTGAATTTAGAAATAATAATGTGGAGAGCGCAAAAAAAAGTGGTTGATTATATCGCGAGAATTCTACAGGCACAAACTATCGCTTTGCGCGATAAGTATCAGGACAAAAAAATAAATGCGAAACGATTATGCATTGGTTCGGATTAAAATTATTTTTTGTTTTTTAGATTTAAATAGCTTCTATCATAGCTTCCTTAGTTGCTCTTTTGTGATATCTGGGTGGTTGATCATTGAATAACATTATAGTCCAACCGTTAAAAGTACTTTATATATATTGAACTTTTTGAGGAAAAAATAACGAAATTGTAATGGTAGCAAGTAAATTTCATGAGACAAATGACCAAATTTCGTAATCAATTTTACTTTAAACTAAAAGGTTTATTTTATGAACAAATAAATATACTTATTGAAGAAATAGAAAATAAATAAGAAATAGACAAATAAATAAGCATCAAATTTCTATTGTTTAATACTTAAATAATATTCTTGTTTTCGATATACTTATATCAAACCTACAAAAATTTTGCCTCTATAAAGAAATATTTCACATCCTAACAATTACTTTCTATATTAAAGTCATTTCGGAGATTTTATTCATTGTATACTTCCTTGTTTACTATTTGTACCTCTTCCAATAAAAACAATATAAAAGAAAATAAAATCCGAATTTACCAATCGAAAAAAAAAAAATTTCTTCGTGGTAAAAAAAAAAAAAAATAAAAAACGCGCTATGATTTTGTAGATTTCTCTATATAAATTATTTTGGCAGACCAGACTCAAGCCTAGACCCCAAAGGTCCACAATTATAGATTTCGCTAAGCTTATATAGGACTAAAATTTGATGAATTTCAAAATTATGGGCTATCGTTCAATGATCAAATTTCTTTACTCACGCGCTTTAACATTAATTAAAAAAAACTTTTTTAACTCCTCTCAAAATGCCTTATCATAACCGTTCGAAAAATTCAGCTCAAAAGAAAGATGAAATAACAAAACCGTATAAAGAGAAAAAGAAGACTGAGCTTTCTGAAGAGCTTGCTAAAACACGGTTGGAACAGCAGGAATAAGAAAGAAAAAGGTCAATCATGGCTGATAGGATTCATAACTTACATGAATATATTCGAACAAAAGACGATGAATCCTTGACTTGCGGAAGCGTGAAGAAAAATTAGAAACAGAATGCGATGCTCATAAAAATGCAGAGGTGAAAAATACAATGATTTATTAGAGGGCAGGGTGTTGGTTTGTCTAGTTTATTAATAAAAAAAAATTCGAGCCCAAAAAGGTCCATACATTAAAATGTAACAAGAATATTTTTTTTTTTGTAACTTGGGGGTGTGTATATTAGGAAAGTGTATATAAAAGTTCGCATGTCATGGTTGGTTTTTTATTAATGGTTTATTTAATTCATTATTGGATATGAGACTGATTTCTTTGAAACAACAGTTGATGATCTTAAGGTGCTTTTCGAGTAATCAAGTTAGAGTCAGACATGATGAGAATACAGACCTTAAAAAATAAGAAATGCAAAAATAGGAATGCAAAATTTAGCTATTACGCGGTCTCCAATATCTGAACATACAAGATTAAATCAGTGTACTGTAAATGAACTTACGAATAAAAATTGTAACTCAAGAGAAAATCGCAAATTTAGGAATAAAATGTATTCTAAACAGCCAAGATGGCCCTTAACGAGGAACCGATCATCCTCCTTTCTTTGAACATATTAGAGCTTGAAATAACTAATTACAAGATAACACTAACATAAAAAATGTCAACAAACCCCGCCGATGGTGATCGGTTACGCAAATCGAAACCTAACTTAAAAGTTGCTTAAAATAATAATTACGCCATCACAATTAAGTTTTATAACCAAATATAGTTTGGCGCCAAATTGTTTATTCTTAAATTTTTTTATAATACAGAATAATGATTTAATCATATAATATAACCATTCCAAAAAAAAAAAAAAAGAAAAAAAAAACTTTTTATATGAGAGGTACAGATAGGTAATAAGCGTTACCAAGTTTTTTCATGGTATCAGTAATTTCCGACCAAATTTCTCTAGCACCAGGATATCTATCCAAATTCATCATAGCACCTTTAAATCCGGGCGTAACTTGAACTAATGGAAAATTTCTCGCTATATAAATCACCAATTCATCCCTAAGATCGCTCCAACAAGGTCCCACAGCAAGTAATCCTTCAAAAACATTATCAATATTTAATCTAAACTTAAGGTCTGATTTCGCTATTTCACTTAATTCATCTAATCCAAATTCGCTAGCCCAAAAACATAAATCAAGAATATCTGAAACGTTATTAATACAAACTATACCAGTATACAAAAAATAAAGAATGGTTTCAAAAGTTAAAATTTCTAATAGAGGTATATCAATATAAATGAATCTTTTTTCATGTGATCTTTTTGATTTTGTCATCACGTTATTCCCTTTTTGATCTTCACAGCATTGACAATGAGACGTACCACGTCTGAGAATATCTTGGAATTCATGGTTGGACTTTAAACTAACCGCGTCTTTAAGAATGCTTGAATGTGCGTATATATGTTTACCTTTTACACAAAATATAATATCTGGCGCGGTTGAATCATTGTCATAAAGGTATCCTAATCTTTTTGAATTATGTAACCATTCGGGATCCTCTGGTCCGAAAATCACTTTGGTAATTAATGTATCTTTACACAAACTTGAGTTCAATTCTTTGCGTGAGCAAACATTTTTAAAAGAGATACCTAAGAAAAATGTAACGTATCAAAGGTAAACGGTTCACTTATGAGTCAGATGGATTTTTTTTTCTTTTTCTTTTTTTCTTTTAAAAAAAAAACAAAAGTCTATGTATAATCACCAAACTTTCGTAGTTTGGAAGCTTCGATCACTTGCGATTCTACAACCAGGTCCCTTTCGAAATTATCGGTCTGTAAGAAAATTGAAATTCTACAACGCTTCGCTTTGCTTGTATCATCTGTTATATCGAAAATAGGAGACCAACATGGAACCACCGATAAAGACAAGAAACATGTATCAGCACAACAGCAATTAGTCAAGCAATGTGCTTCCGGATGAGACTATTTATCAAAAGAAAGCAAAAGTGAGATTAAGATGAGTTTTCAACTTTTGCTGTTTGAATAGAAATAAATTATTACAAGGTCAATGCGTAAGAACCAGGCATTATGTGAAGAAGTTGCAAAGACGGGAGAAACGAACAATCCACTTTGTTCAGAAAAATCATATATTGTGATATAAGATCCTATTTGTATAGGTGGTATATTATGATTCATTTTTTGTTGGAAAAGAAGAAAAGAAAAAGGAGGAAATAATATTTTATGAATCGATCCCTTAATGAAATGGGAATTTGAGTTGTATTGTGTGTGTAAAAAGATCAACAACGGTTTGTTCCCAGATGGAAGATGCCCTAAATTAGTAATGATCGGACCTTTAAATAATTAGATAACAAAAAAAAAATTTTTTTTTTTCATCTAAAATCCCAAAACAATGTTGGGCTCACGTTTTAATTTATTATGTCCAAATACCATATCGAATATTCGTTATATATTTCGATACCCAAACACTTTTTCTCCTATTACGAAAATATCACTTGTGCAAAGAAACTACGCTACCAATGCAGAAACCAACTTAGAATTATTACGGGATGAAATAGAACGAAATCCTAAATATGTTGCGGAATTTGACCCTGGAATTCTTGGTACTATGTGTAATATTTATATGAATTATAATCAAAAGGATGGAGCTTTAATATATATTTTTTTTTTTTTAAAAAAAAAAAAAGATCCATACACGAAGCCATCACAAATGCCTTCTATTTTCTCGAAAGAGTATTATCGAATATTATCCAAAAACGCACGGAATTCATGGAAGAATTTTATATCGTAAAGTTTTTTATTCCCCTTTGGCAAACAAAAACGACCGAGATATTAAATTTATTTTGTTGATTTCTTCAGTGCTATTCATTTTTGTTATCATGAAAGAAAATCATCCGAATATAAAGATAATCCAGCAGAATATTGGTCACCAAAACAATTTAAATCCAAGGCTTTGGATATTTACATTGAAATGAACGAACAGTTCGCCCTGTATGTTGGTTTTAATAAAATCTGGTAAAAATGAATTCAAAGTATTGAACGTAATTTTTTACATTATTACATTTTTCACATTTTTTTAACAGAAAAAATTTAAAAGAATTGAAGAGTCTTGTAGATGATCAAATGTTTAATGTAAAGTTCTTTTAAAAATGATAGATAATTCATATTTTTAATGTGATTTGATCTAATTCAAACTTTGTTATTTATTTAAGAAAATGAAATTTGAGATAAAAAATAGGGAAGGTAAATTCATATGGAAATATCATGGACTCGTTGAAAAGCCTAAATATACAAATATTCGATGCGCACTTGGGCCGATAGGTCCGATTGGAAATTATCTGGCTCAAGTGACGCTAAAATTACATACTAAACAGGTTATTACGTTATCATTTCTTCTCGTTCTTTTCCCTCTTAAATGAAAACTCACACGCGCCTTTTTAATGTAGAGTATAGGATTATATAATAAATCAGGCAAGTTGATTGCAGGAGATCCCAAAAAAATTAAGAATGTGCTTCAATATGTAGTGTTTCAACGTAAAATGTGGGAGAGACAAAAAGGGTGGACTATTTATGGATATGTGCAACAAGGATGATAGATGTAAAAGGTGTACTAAAATAAAAAATGATTCTCTGACATTAAAAAAGTTAAACATTTGATAAGCATCCATCACTTAATTTTCTCCTATACCAGTATAACCCCTGTATTCCATATTATTGTTGTGTTGATAAGGATAACCTTGTCCTCGTTGTATCATTCCTTGTCTGTTTTGAGCGTTCATATATTTGTCATAAAACTCTTCGGGCATCCTTCCACCATTTCTGGCCCTCATATTTGCTAAAGCTTGAACACGTCTTTTCAATTTGTCCGTTCTCTTTCTTTCATTTTCCTGTTCGATATAGGATAATTCATTTCTCGAAGGAGTTGTCAAAACTCCAGTAATGACTTCTGAAAACCATCCTGCCATGCCACCAACAAGAAACCCGAATATAGATGCTATGGTCAAAAACATATATAATGGATAGAAATATGAATATATTTTCTGCGTAATGGTATATGGTGTTAGAATGAATACATTAAATAATCCTTCTAAGATCCAAAAGACTGGGCTTAAGACATAAAGAATGAATGAAAATATACATGATACTATAGTATAAAGAAGGTTAAAGATGAAAATTACTGGACTCAATAATGACTTTACATTTTCCAGAGGATTATCATCCGTGCTGATTTTCTCTAAAGTAGATTGAGGTTTTGTGTTCGCTTCACATATAGCTCCAGCATCAACTTTAGCTTGACTTATAATACATAAAGTCAATAGTAACAAAGTTATAATACAAATCACAACATAAGGTTTTTGGTTTATCATAAATATCATTTTTCCAAAAAAAAAAAAAATAACTGGTCAAAGTTTAAATTCGGAGGTGAGGTTTTTTCTTAGTATCTTTTTTCTTCCCTTTCAAATTTCAACTTTTTCTTTTCTTTATACTACACGTAAATTTCTTTAAAAAAAGAGAGAGAGAGAACATGGAATTAGTTTTCTTTTTTCTTTAGAAAACGTGGGGGATTATTATATAAAATACTGAAAATCACTCGGAAATCATATGTAATCTTATTTCGATCATCGGTGTGGCTGATTTTTCCATGGAGACCACGATTGGATAGTTCACGTGTATAAGATTTCTTTTTTTTTTTTTTTGTCGCGGAATGGTAAAAAATTTTATGGAAAATACAAAGCGGAAATTTTTTTTTTTTTTTTTTATCTTTTCTAATTTGTTGAAATATAAATATTTTTTCAGTCATTTTTATAATTGCTAATAATTGCGCAAATTGACGCGAGATTTTTTTTTTTTTTTTTTTTTCCTGCGCATTTGTCGCAACAGCAAAAGTATTGTTATTCTTAAAATAAACAATAAATAAAAATCAATCAATCAAAATTATAATCTTACTCCATCAAAAAATCTTTTTTATGTTTACGCGCTGTTTGAATTACCTTCGCCAATTAATTATAACACGTCGTGTTAATAATAATAAAGAGAGAGCAAATAATTTATTTGATAATAAGGCTAACTTTAAATTTACTAGGCTTAAAGCATTAAGAATGAATGATAATATAAGAGGAGTACCCGTGAATAAATTTTCACGAAAATATAAACTTGCAAGGGAAGTATCGGAAGCCCAAACCAACTCGACGAAAGTGGTCGGTTCCTCCTCTATTGACAACAATAACAACAATAACAATCATAATACAATAATGTCCCAAGAAGAAAAGTCACCTTATGCAAAATTTCGTGGTTCTAAAGTTTTGTATGTTACCGACTTTGCCTCACTGGCCTGGTGTGAAATGCAACAACATTATTCCCTTATGGCAGGAGGAAAGAAAGAGACAAAGGCCATGAGAGCCGGTTCGAAAATACATAATGAACTAGAACTACAGGTTCATGACATTGTTACAATACCAACAAAGACGAGAGAAGACTTATGGGGCATCAAGTATGTATTATTAACTTGAAAAAAGAATAAATATATATATTTATATATACCGTTAAATTCATTTATTAATAAACATTAGATTTTATAATGTGATCGTTGGACTCGAATCACTTGACACGAACTATAAAACAAGAGAGTTACCAATTTTTGGATTTGTATCAGATCTCTTTGTATTTGGAATAATTGATCAAGTTGGAATGAAAAAGCGTGAAGGGGAGTGGACTATATCTGACACAAAGACTCGAGTAAGACCATTTTTACCGGATCAATCAAAGATTTTACCGTCAGTAAAGTATCAATTAATGCTTTATAAAAAACTTTTTGATGCACTAATACAAGGTGCAATTGATGAGGAGATAATATATCAAAGACTTCGTTTGAATCCAGATTTAGAATTTTCAAGTGAATTGGCTAATATTATTAAAAGATTTGGAAATTTGGATAAAGGAAAGGAGAAGGAATTTCAACCAAATTTACGAAATCTTATGAGAATCGTGGTTAATAATTTTGGAAAGTTTCGGAAATCGAGTAATACTTTGGAAGTGAATTATAAATATCAAAAGGACGGAAGTGATATTGGTTCTTTATATTTTGAATATGAGGAGGATCAGATAACGAGTTATTTAACGAAATCGGCTAAATATTGGAAAGGTGATAGAACACCGGATGGTGTTCCCATCGAAGAAGCATGGAAATGCCAGTAATTATTATTTAACCTATCTCATGACCAAAAAAAAAAAAAAAAAAAAAAATTTCAATTAATATTTTATTTCTTTTAAATTCTATTTAGGATTTGTGAATTTGCTGATGATTGTGAATGGAGATTGAATAAAATTAAAGAACTTTCTCAGAAAAAACGTGCACTAGCAGAAATTACAAATGCTGGTCGAAAATGAATTTTTTACAAGAACTAGACTAGGAGAACTGCAAAAAAAAAAAAAAAAAAATTACAGATATTTATAGAGAAAAATAACTATAATTATAAGGATTCTAATAAAAGCGTTATTAAATTTTAGCCTAATGCTGGCGTATGAGTTTTTTTTTAAAAAAAAATCCTCATTTCCATTAAATGTTCTACGTGACTTTTCATGAGATAATGCAATGAATGTCCTTTGTGCGATGATGTATATAAAATTACATTGTATAAAAATGCTTTTTTTCACTCTTCCTTAAGACCCACCAAACCATTATCAACCTCCAATGGTATACCGGTTTCAGTCACAGCAACTTTTCCTTCACCATCAAATTCCTTACTACCAACTTTCCATTTTTTAATTTGATCTTTCTTTCCCTTCAATTCTTCATTTTCAATACCGCCACCAATTTGAACAATCTTTTTAAATGATTTACCAATACCTAATAAAAATATTAAATTAACCAAGACGATTGTTAAATGTCCAGAAAAATAAATGGACTCCCAAACTTTTAAAGAATCGCTTAATGAAAGAATGTTGAATGGTAATATTATATAATGAATCATGGTTTGTGTGAATAACCAACCGAAAAAGTTATATAGTGGCTTTAATGATTTAAATCTTGGTGTTAAGAAAATTGGTCGAATATGACGACGGAGAGCTATTTTAAAGGAAATTTTATTAGTTTTTTTTTTTTTTTTTTTTTTTTAGGTTAGAAGTGAAGTCATTCACATTAATTTACTTACTTCGATGAATACTTTGAACAAATGCTCCACTTATAAAAGTTACTAGAATGAAAAATAATAAACATGAATATAAAAATCAAGCCTTTAAAATACGCGCGTAAATCAACTCGACTTACAATAATAACCAGGATAAAATCCATGCCAAATAGCACTTATTCCAAAAGTAGTAAAAGTTGAAACGAAACTTGGTTTCTTTCCAGGTGGAGTCACTCTAAGATAAACGTAATTTTTGAGCCATTTATTCGTATTCATATTCCATGCTTCCAAAAGGGTTTTCACATTGTCGGCAGTTTCGTAAGCGATTATGTCGACATTTGAGACACGATTCCTATAATAGTTAATAAGAGACATATATATTACATCATTCACGAGACAAATACGGGCTGGTTTTATAATACAATACCATTTTGCATTTCCATGTTCATCATATCCATTAAATCCTAAGCCAGAAAGAATACATGCTCCTTCGGCAACCAACCAAACAATATAATATTTGAACCTGGCGCAAAAAGATGCAAGTTGTATATACAATAATCTAACGGGAACGGGAAAAAATAAATCAGTTTAAACATTTTCTTTTAAACCAATCAGAAATAAAGAGCGATTACTTACTTATCCAAAAAGGAGATATTTTTAAATTCTTCAGTTAAAGTCCAATCAAATGGATATTTGTTTCCAATAGTTACCAGACAAAGGATCCAAAAAATACCAAAACTCAATTTACTCATAGCAGGAATGAATCCGTTCGGTACATGATATTTAACATTATTATTATTATGTCGATTTACAAGCTTAACTTGCTGACTTTTGATATCTTTTCGTTCAGGTTCGGTTGAATTATTCTCGATACGGAACATTTCCATATTGGTGAATCGACGATAATCCATAAATTCAAATGCCGGCCCAACCAAGAATCCACCAAAAAAGAATATATATCCAAAAAATTCTAGAATTGATGGAATTGATGGAATAGCTTTACTTCTCTGATATGATGTTAATTCCTAAAAGGGATTGAAAATACGCGTATCATTAGTTAAAAATGGTGAAAGTGTTGAAAAATATCACACCCGAATTTAATACAAACGTTAATTGGTCTTCGTCCGTCATATACGTTGAACGCGAAGGAAGTTAACTTAATAACCAATACCATTTGCGGACCTGTCGTATCATATCTATCATACGATATGTCGTTAAGTTGCCGGTAGAGATGACTTGCATAAAATTATAATCAAGTTGTTAAAAAACCATTTTTCATATGCAGTTGTTCGTGTAACGATGCACAAAATTTTCTTTTAGAACCTTACTTCACACTTAAATGTCCCAAGGAACATAAGAAAACCAATTTTGGGCCCCAAGCTCCTCTTACATAATACATTATAAGATAAGAAATCAAAGAACTTGCCAACATAGTATAAAATGCCTTCGCTAAATCGAAAACATAAAATAATACTATAATTGATATAGTTATAGAAAATAAGTGTTTAACCGCTGGAATACGTGACGGTAAATACTTGTATATTATTGCTATGGGATATGATGCAAGTAATGTGAATACTACTTTTAAATGGTCTGTGGAAGCTCCACCTGTTGAAGCAGATAAATTTGAAAAGAAATTATTTAATGTTGACATTATTTATTTCTTGGTAAAAAGAACAAAAAATTTTTGTTTTTGGACCGTTATAAAAGTCTTAAATGTGTTCTGATGAATAAAAATAACGTGATTATTATAAATGGTCTCTTTAATTAGAGAAATTTGATAAAATCCCCATTATTTATATTATTTTTTTCCCCCCAACATTTTATATCTTGTTTTCGGTTTATGAACTCGAGCCAAAAATTTTTATTTTAAATTAGATCTACCCCAACCGCATAACCATGTGAATTAAATGACAAAATTTGGGGCATTCATTTTAGTTAAACGTGTCATTAGTAAAAGTGATGTACAACAATATCACTCCTTTCTTTTTTGGAACTGATTAATAAATAATTTACCAAATAAAATTGACAGGATAATTTTTTAAATTAGATGTGTAAAGAGATGGTGTCAAAATAAATTATAATAAATGTTTATAAATTTTTTTTTTTTTTTTTTAAAAGCAAAAAGAACCATTTGCTATTTATTGTTGATCTCGGTCCCTTTTAATAAAGTCAAAAACCCTTCTCACAGGAGAAACGCTTCTTGATCGATGTAGCGGATCTTCATCCGACGAAATTCTGTTTTCTTCCTCAGATCCATTATTTAAGGAAGCTTGTGAACGCCGGCGGAAAATTTTATCCTAAAACAAAAGACGTCAGTAAAAGTATTATACCATTTTAATTGTAAAATGTTTGAAATAAACATACCACAACACTCTCAGCACCGAACATTCCTGCGAAGCCCCTTACGTATTCCTGACTTCGATTTTCCCATATGGCAAACGTTTGTGCCAAATCATTTTTCAACTCGGAAAAGTCATTAGATAATTCTGTTTTTGTACCATGCCAATTTTGATGGATGGATGATCTGATATCCGAAATTGACTTTTTCATGTTGATCTCCTTGGCCTAAAAAAGTCGATGCATGAGTATATTGACGAAAACACAATTAAAAAAGGCATGACATAAATATATTAATAATCACCTTTAAGAACCCTATGTTGAGTTCTTTTGGTGAGACGCCCCTTTCTAGGTTACGCCTTACATATTGATCGTAATCCCTCACAATTCTCGTTATGAGATCGCTTGTGGAAACACCCTCGGTACGCTGTGTTGGTAGAAATCTGCCTTGCTCTTTGACGAAGGAATATATATCTGATGAGCCACCTGACGTGTATGGGATCGCGTCATGCGCGACGTAATCGATTCGATAACGGTCCAAGAATTCTTGATTAATTACCCATGGCGCATGCTCAACCACCTCATCTACCCATTTACAGTGTCTTAATGATTCTGCACGTTCCTGTTCATTAAGAACAGTCTTGCCCTTTTTCTTATGTGTCGTTGCGTCGTCGCATACTCCAACGAGCAAATAAACGTTGGAGAATGTCTCCTTGGCTTGCTGTAACGATTTTGCATGACCGAAATGAAATAAATCGTATATGCCATCGCAATAAATGCGAACAGGTCTATCTGTTGGTGGAGGGTTTATTTTAAAAGAGTATTCCTTTGAAAGTTGTTCCGTCTTTTCTTTTTCGGATAAAATCTTATCTCGATCACATAAAGGCTCTGGAAACATGTCAGAGTCAGGAGGACTTGAATTAACAACACCATTAATAGAGGTAAATTCATTTTTTGATCTCTTTGACGACGGTGCAACATTACTGGGGGTCATGGAAGATATCGAAGAAGGCGTATCAAGCGTATCATTATCTTCTTCTGATGCATCTCTTGAAACCGAACTTTCCATCTTAACTTTATGATGAACTTCTCCTCTCTTACGCTTTGTAACTTTTGTCATTATTATTATTTTTTTCTTTAATTTTTTTTTAATTCAAAGGCGCAAAAGAGCAAAAATACTTTATTTCATAAAGTAAGGTGGTATGAAGTAATTTACAAAAAGGTTGTAAAATCAAAAAGGTTACATCAAAAAAAAAAAATATTTTTTACAGTAAATGGGGGCGGTAAAAAAAAAAAAGAAAAAAAGTTGCTATCAAGTTCCACATTTCCACAAGTAGATTGACACAGATTTTGGGTTAACTTTTTTAAGAAATGTAACTGTAATAGTTTCAACATCTCGCACGTGCTTAACAGATTGATTTCATGATGAGATCACATGGACAATTATTTTTCATAGATAAGAGATTTCGGGGTTTGCATTCAGTCACAGGTTTCACAGATTTAGTTCACACAAAATAAGAACACCACATGATATTTTATCGACGACGTTTTGTATTACTGTAATTTAGTTTTCTACGATGTTTAACGCCAGAAGTTTCTATTATCAAAAAAAAAAAAATAATAATTAATGACGGAACTTTTCAGGTCAAGTTTAAAAAGATAAAATGCTTACCATCAGTTCCTGGAACCCCGCTAGCCAGCAATGGTCCATTCACGTATTCGTTTAACAAAGTATCCCAAATTCCTTTGTTTCTATACGATAGTTCCAAACCAACCTTAAGATAATATTGCTTTCCTACTTTATACCTTGCTCCATCAACAAACCAATTGATTTCTCCTCCTAATTTATCTTTAAAGTCTTCCCTTGTGACATTTGCTACCTTCTCTTCTACCAATTTAAGTGTACATTTTTTTTATTTCAGTAAGCTTTTTGGTGTAAATATAATTATCTGAATTGACTTCAGCAACTTTTGAACATTCGGGTGAAGGATTGGTTATATATTCATAAACTGAAAATTGTATCGATTTTAGGATCGCCATTCCATTTTGTTTTACAACGTATTTAATTGGATTCGTTTTATTTATTTCGAATTGTGAGTTTGCTTGGGGATTAACAATTTCGACTTCATCTATACATATTTATATTCGTGTAATATCGATTTTAGTAAAGCGTTTGTTAGTAACAATTTAACAATTCTTTGCACTACTAACTAACCTGCGTTTACAATCAAAGAAAATATTTGCGATAATATGATAATACACACAAAGATAAATGATTTCATCTCGGGATTTTATAGTTTTTTTTTTTTTAAAAAAAAAAGAATTCTTGGAGGATGTCTTTGAAAGATGAATTCATTTCTTGAACATTCTTTTGATCCTTTTTTATAACAAATTGAATGGATTCTTGTAACGAGATGTTGAACCTGCTTATATAAGTATCGATTGAATCAATCTTTGTAACGAGATGTTAAACCTGTTTAATTTACATAGAGTATCGATTAGATTATTACACTTTCCTAAATCTAATATCAACAAAAGCCACTTGAAAATATTATCTAACCTAAAGGAAACGTTAGTCTTGTGTCGTTAGCATCCGTTGTGAATTAGAATTTTCTAATTATAGAGAAGGCTAATCAATTTAACTTTAATAGTTTTGTAATTAATAGCTTATAAAAAGGAAAATGATCTTCGAATTCAATAAAAGAAAGTTTGGAACTGGTTTGAAAACAAGCATTATTTTAAAATATTCCCCATTCCACAATAACGTTAATCTATAAATAAATTTTTCGCCGCAAATTTAAAAAGAAAAAATATGCGGCACGGCCTGACCCAGCCCAATACCTTGGTTTCCGTACCATATTTAGAGAAAAATACATTGAGAAAGGTTTGATTGTTTTTGGTATTAATTACCTTTTAATATAACCCTTTTTCTTTCAACTTTTCATTTTTCCTAGAATTACTTGGTTTACAACCGATTGCAAAATTGTGCCACCACCTTATGAATTTCGGTTTTTGAATTTTTATTGAACTCTCCATTTTTAGTAATAATCCGACTCCTTAAAAATTAAATTGGCATTGATATTCAGGTTGCAGATATCTAGCCATCTTTGTTACGCGTTTTCTTAAAAAGATGTAAACAATCGCTAATGCATGCTAACCCCATTCCTTTAAAATATAAACCTAGAATGAACATGTATTTTTTGTGGTATTTGTGAAACTTGTGAGGTATATATAATAAAGCGGTAACCATAAATGTCTAAACCGAAGACCTGAAAAGGAACTGTGTAGATAAAATGCTTGACTAAATAAAAGAAAATCCGCGTTTACTTGGATTTAAGGTGTTTAATAATATTTTACCAAATGTGAAAAATGGTGTACTATTGAGTAAACCTGAGAAATTGTATTAATTATTGAAGAAAATTCGTTATCTACTAATGCATTAGCTACATTTCGAAATCTTCCTTTATCATAAAAATACTTAGATACATGTTATATTTGTTAGTTTTACATGTATTATCATTTAAACTATAAAATCGTTATATAGATCTTGTTGAGAAAGTGACATCCAAAAAATACCTGATAGCCATCTTTCTCTATTAATGTGTTGAACAAATACCTTTCAACACGAATCTTGTATTATTTTCTTGAAAAATATTTCAAGTAGTGAATTAGAATCAAGATTTCATCTTCAGTCCTTTTGTAAATGGTAAATGCATTATAATCATCTTGCTTATAGAAAACATGCTCTAGATACTTTTTTTTAGTATTTCTAATTGTACAATAGGTGTTACCTTACAACTTGTAAAAAATTCTAAATCCTATATCATATCACTAATAAAACGCCTATATCTAGCAATAACATGAGTTATCTAATTTGGATTTAATTTATGATTGATTAACTTTCAATGTTGTACATTTTATTTAATATACAGTTTTGAAAATGTAAAATTGCAATGCCATTTACAATTACATTTTTAATATTATGTTAACAATATAAGTTCTGATTGATATCTTTTTTAGCTTTATAAGTACCATCTGATAAACATTGAAATGACTTGTAATAGATAATTAAAGAATTACTTGAGTCATTATCATTATAAAAAACCTGATATCTAAATCCTCTTTTTAGATAATACTAATATATAAATGTATCAACTGATTGTCAATCATTGAAAATACCTTCTACATGAAGATTATATTATTAAATAAAACAATTTATTTTTTCAAAATTATTTTCAGAAAGATCTAAGTTGTTGTTATTTGGATTATTTAATAAAATAAAACTTAATTCTATAGTTTCATTTAAATAGTTTTCAAAACCTCCTATTATATTATAAGTAGAAACTAAAGGGTTTTTAAGTAAAACATTATTTAGTATTATGAATTTATTATTATATTACTCAAATTCATAACCTTTGATCAATAAAATATAACTATTAATAAGGTATTCATTTTTTGAATATGCAATATATAATTTTTAACTTAATTCTGTCATTATAAAGTATATAAAAAAAAATTAAAATCATCACTAAATCAATAATTTTATATAGCAGATAAAAATTTAACCCATAAATAATAATAAAATTTTATTAAAATTAAGATAAAAATTACCATATAAATCATATAAAAATTAAGATGAAAATTATTATAATAAAATTCATCAAAAGTAAAATAAAAATTAATTCTTATAATTAATAGATATTTAAAATTTATTTTATATGTAGATAATTCTAAACCAGAAAGAAATATATTAGAATTTAAAAGAACTTCTTATTAAAACTATCAATTTAACATTATTTTTATTATTAGCAATCAAATCAAAAAAAAAAAAAACAAAAGATTAATTTTTTATTCAAAACATCAACTAAAAATAGCTTTAAATTATAATCTACAAACATTTATTAATGTTATAGCAAATATCATCACCAATATATAATTCATATCAATATAGTTATAATTCTTATAAATAAATACTATTATAATTTAATCATTAAGATATATAAAAGATTTATAATTTAATTGTATTAAAGTTTTTTTTATACAATTTAGTAAATCTTTTTTGATATATGAAAATGATTTTATTAAAATAAATATACTATTAATTTATTATAATATTTAATATTAGGTTAATTAAAAAATGTTAAAATAAACTTAACTGAATATTGTATTAAAATTTTAAGTTAATTTTTTTTACTATAATTCATTTATAATAATAAATAATAATATAAATATTTAATATCTTAAAAAATTTAATATTATTTATTAGTTTATTAATAAAATTAAATATAATTAATATAAGTAAAACATATTTTAACTTTATCTGATTCTATTAAATTAAATGCTGTATTAAATATATAAAAAGCATTATTTTTCTCTTACTATCTATTTATATTTATAAAAAAATTTTTGTGTTTTAAAAAATCATAATTAAAGAATATCACATGATTTTATGTGATTATGATGAATTTTCTCAAAAAGTCTTTATAATTTAAAATAAAATTTTATAAATAATTTTTTAAAAACATTTATTTCCTTTTAGTACCTTTATATTTTATTTAAATCATACAATATAATATTTAATTTTAATAAAATTTATGTAAAATTTTACAAAATCATTTATTTTAAAAATAATTAATAGAAGCTATATATATTATGACAAATATTTTACCAAAACATAATATGTAATTTTTAATACATAATATATAATTAATTATATAATTAAATACAAACTAGTAATTAATTATAAATAAAATTAATTACCAAATGATATTAATATGATAATTAATTACAAAATAGTAATTAATTATAAGAAATTAATTAATTAATTACTATAAAAATTATGATTATCAATTTTATTATATTAATAATTAATCTATTTTTAAAATTATTTCTAATAATTAATAATAATAAAAAATAATTATTGTAATAGATGATAATAAATGATAATAAATGATAATAGATAAAAAGAAAATTTTCATTTTTTTCTATTAGATCTACTTTTAATTTAATCAAAAACTTGACAACTACATAAATATTTATTATTTGTTTTTAAATAGAATTAAATTTAACGTTATAAAATAAGTAAGTTTAATTAAAACAAACTTTTTCATATTATTTTAATATACAACTAATTATAAAATTTCACATTAAATTTATTATTATACAACATATTTCTTTTTAATTATTATGTGTATAAAATTTTTTTGTTTAGTTTGCTAATTATAAGAGATATTCAATTAATTATTTTACAAGTAAAAATTCTATAATTCTGAATGGTAAATAAAAATTCTTAATTTTTATTATATAATTTAGATAGCCTTATATTTTCACAAATTCATTATTTATTAATTTCTTATTATGTGTTTTTATCTAAAATTTCATATACTGAATCTGATTTCTTATTATTATTTTCTTTATTTTAATATAATAAAGCAGTTAAGTTTTTTTTTGCTACAAAAAATATTTATTAATATTCTTTCTTTTATAAATTAAACTCTTCAATTTTTAAATTTTCAGATAAGGTAAGGCTTAATAAAAATTTAAGAAAAAATTTTTTTAAATTTAAAAAAAAAACAATATTAACTTATTTTATAGATTTAATTTAAAGTTTTTTAAATCTTAGAATTGAAAGTAAATTTCTATAAAAAAAATGAAGAATATGAGATTTATTTTTTAAAAAAAAAGAAAATTAATTAATGCTTACTTTTTTGTAAGTTTTGAAGTTTCTTTAAGCTTTAGAATCTAAGATAAGTTTCTATATAGAAAAGAATAAATGAATGTATTAGAATTTTTTTTTAAATAATAAAAAGAAAATTAACTAATATTTACCATTATAGATTCTGAAATTTTTCAAATTTTAGAAGAAGAGATAAATATGTTAGAAATTTTTTTAAAAAAAACTAATACTTACTTTTGTAAATTTTAAAGTATTATTAAATATTGGAATTGGAGGTAAGTTCCTATAGAAAGAGAAGAAAATATATTAGAATTTTTTTTAAAAAAAAAAAAAAAATAATATTTACTTAGAATCTTAAACATTT